GAATATAATAGTTTTGTTGGCATGAGTTCAGACTGACTAGGAATTGAAGAGGGGTCCCTAGGAAGAACAGAATAACAGAGAGGGGAATTCCCCTCCCAAAATAATAGTAAGCACCTTTTAAGTCCTTAGCTGAGTGTTGAATTATGCATGTATGGGGAAAGTCTTCAATAAGCCCTGGATAAAAATAAAAACTATAAACCTAAAGAACTGAGTGGGGAATTGAGCAGCTTCAGCAAGTATATAGAGTCTGGAATTTTATTTCAGCCCCACCTGCCTCAAGCTAGAGGAGCATCCTGAACACTGTAAGCACTGAAACTCCATGCTAGAAATACAAAGAATACACCCTGAACTAATGGACTTTCCTCAGAAATAGAAAAATGGAGCTAGATTTCACCTTAATAAAGCCACCTACATACTTATAATTATTTACCTGCTTGCTAGAACAAGCACTAACATTGTATATCTTAGTTTATTTCCCTGTTGCTAGGGTAAAAATATCACAACAAAAGAAATTTAAGAGAAAAAAAAAGTTTACTTTGGATAATAGTTCAAGAGTACAGTCCATCATGTGAGAAGTCAAGGCAACAGGAGCTTGAAGCAGCTGGCCACATGACATCTAGAAAGCAAGGTCAATAATGCTCCTGCTTACTTCACTTCCTCTTTTTTATTTAGTCCAGGATAAAGTCCACCCTCCCCTGGCATGGTGCTACCCATAGTGGGCAGCTCTTTTCACCTCTAACCTAATCAAGATAATTGCCTATAGTCATGTCCAGAGGACCATCTCAGTCTCACCAAGTTGGCAATTTCACTTAACCATCACAAGGATAACCTAAAGTTTCTTCCACATAATATTGGTTTTCAGTATACTATCAGCAATTAGTAGATATGTAAAAAACCAATGTGGCCCAGAGTCAATAGAAAAATAAGTCAATGGCAATAGACCCATGGGTCAACTGATATTGGAATTGACAGAAATGTACTACAAAATCATTGTGTAAAACCTGTTAAGGAATTTAGATACATGGTATTATACATATAAGATATTTAGATATAAGGAATGATAGGTTTGAAAATTTCAGAAGTGATGAAAATAGTAAGAAGAAATACAAAAGGAATCTCATGAAATGAAAAAAATAATCTAGAGTGAAGAAATGGAATTTAGCAGATTTAACATATCTCAAGAATAAAAAAGCCAATAAAGGACATGAGCAGGCACTTGATCCTAAACACTTGGCAAGATACTGAACCTTACTAGTCATCAGTAAGCTATAAATTGAGTCTCCCTTGTAGTTATTTGAATGATAAACTCAAGAAGATGGACAGCAGCAAAGGTATGCCTAACTGCAACTCTCATATATTGCTGGGGGCAGAAAATGACAAAATTGATTGGAAAAAACATATGTTCTTTATAAAGTATGCAGAAACTACCCCAAAGCTTTATTCAGAGGAATTTTTTTCCAAGGAAATGATAATATAACAGCAGCAAAAAAGATTTGTATAATGTATATCTATCTACAATCACTAAAATATTGTGAATAATTCCTGTCCATTCAGATATGAATAAAGAAATTATGGTCTCTTTAAAAGCAGACGATTTCTCAAGAATAAAATGGAATAAAATCATAATATGTATGATTTAAAAAATCTGCTGAATGGAAGACACAAGACCCTCTACCTGAAGTTTCAAATATACAACAGCTAAAACTTAGCCATGGTTACCAAAGTACTAACAAATGCTCCTGCTCCCAACAGTGTTAAGAGGAGTTTTCAAATGGAAAGGACACAAGAAAACGTTGGGCTGATGGAAATGTTTCATTTTTATTGATGACACAGTAATGTCCATGCACATTTGTTAAAATACATCAAAGCAGCACACTTTACATTGGTGTATTTGATTGTATGTGCATAATAAATCATAAACTGAATTAATGGAAATAAAAATGTAATAATATAGCATTATATTCACAAACAGGAACTCAGGTTAGATTGTCAGATTTTGAGACTTGAGTTATAGATAGCACAGGGTATAATCACCACATCAGAAAAATCTGGGGCTTTGAGACATGTTGCAAGTCCTTTGTGGATATAAGCAAGATGCTAACCTAGGCTATGCACTCATAAAATGGATGATACAATTAGTATCTGCCTTAGAAGGTTGTCCTTGGTGTAATGTCTGGGACGCAGATGCATTCAGTGCATTTAAGCCATAGTCATTATTATTAAATAGCTCTTCAGTGACACTGGCATTACCCTAACTCAATCAGGAATATGTGTATAACCATGAAGATTTTAAGAATTAGATATCTACAAACTACATTAGGCAGCAATCTAAATAACTCAGACATTTGACAGCATATGATTAAGTACACTCACAAATCCTATTTTAGTTATCCATTTCAAACCAAGCAACTGTCTCTTTGTCAAGAAAAAACCAAAGCTGTTCACTTTAATATTATTTCCTTGAAGAGCTTGTGAAAAAAAATCAAGCATAGACAAATTAGGGCATAATTTTTTCATAGTTATCTTCTTTCTTTTGTCTTTATCCCTTATTCTTATCATTAGAGGTATGCATCTTTCCAGCACATACATATGTATATGTACATATGTACAAGAATTTGCATGTAACCATATATATAATTGTGACTATACCGTTTGTGAGCTGGCTAGTTTTTGGCAATTTGACACAAGCTTGAGTCATTTGCAAGGAGAGAACCTCAACTGAGAAAATGTCTCCAGAAGATTGGCCCATAGGCAAGCTTGTTGGGCATTTTCCTGATTAATGTGGGAGCACTCAGTCCACTGTGGGTGGAACTATCCCTATGCAGGCAATCCTGGTTTGCATAAGAAAGCAAACTGAGCAAGGCAGTAAACAACATTCTCCCATGGACTCTGATTGGTCCTCAGTGTTGGACAGTTACCTGGAATTGTAAGATGAAATCAATCCTTTCCTCCTCAAGTTGTTTTTGGTCATGGTATTTATCAAAGAATTAGAAACCAAACTATGACAGTTTCAGTCTATGACTGCCTTCTAAACCAGTCATTTTCATGTAAAAAATCTTATCATGATAAAACTGTTACCCTAAAAGTTGATCTACTCTTTTTAATAGCTGCAGAATGGTCTATGGCAGCATGGAACTTTATTTATTGAACAAGCAGTTCTGTTTATGAGCACAGCATAATTTCAGGTTATTATTCCCATAGAAAGCTTTGAATTAATGCAAACATCATTTGCACTTGAGTTGGTAATTTCATTTGATAAATTTTTAAAAAGTGAAATGGTTAGTTAAACATCTTTGAACAACTATTTCCAATCTTTTCTTGTGAGTAACTGTATTTTGTGTGTGTACAAACAGTGGTCAGGGCATTGTGTTCTCTCTTGAGCGTGGTGAATGGTGGTTTTCATATTCTTCTTTATGTTTCTCATTTACTGATAAAGAGCTGTTTTTAAAATTAGCCAACTTTATTTTAAGATATTTAAACACTATCAGTCTAGCACATAACATTGTATTAAGCATTCTGTTGATTGTCTCATGTGCACCAAAGTCCTTAAATTCCTGCACAGGTATGCGAGGTTGCACCTCTAACACCAATTCATTACAAAGTAGAGCTTTCCACAGTATGTGGCTGGTGAAGAGCATTGTGTGGATTTTACCCCGGGTCTGTGAAGGGTGACAGTTGAGAGTAGGCTGGAATACATTCATTTTGATATGAGGGTCCTTTAGGGCTAGGTTCATTATCAAACGCCATAGATATATATGTAAGTGGCAAGGCAAGTAGGCCTGGATAAGCTTATGCCTTTGGACACTTGTTGAGCTGAGAATGATGCCTCAGTGACAGGCAGTGGCAATAGTAGCCAGCTTGGATATTAGACACCTTGTACCCATGGCACTAAAGTCTCTCCAGAATATAGCTTCATCTTGAAATAAAACAAAAATAAGAAGTCATCAGGTTCATGATGGTATGGACTGTGGAGTGGGGGGTATTTAGATCTCTCAAAGATACTGTGTTTTCTTTCCCTGACTTCTACCTTGTCTTGGTTTGCAAACTTGATTTTTTCTTTCTGCCCATAGAGTAGTACTTATTCAAAAAGGACTAAACAACCACGTTTTCAAGTTTGTAATTTACGTGTCCATGAGCCTTTAGCTGTCTACCACAGCATTAACTTCAGATCCAGTCACAGAAGGTGTTGATTTTTTACTGAAACCAGCTTCGTGCTTCTTGCCAGGGTGGCTGTTTGCAAAGGGCCCAGAGGAGGAGCTGCAGCTGAGGCTGCCTGAGGGCAGAAAGCTGCCTCTCCAGCAGAGTAAGAACAGCTGCTGCTAGTTGGCTTTCCAAGCCAGGTGCATGGTCTTCCAGGTGCTTCTAAAGACCCATCTACCCTTGCGGCATCTAGCTCTTCCCTTGCAGGAACCTGATCATGCTTGCAGGGTGTCTGTGAGGAACCGAGTTGTCTGGAAGTTTGGTTCTTATTTGAGTAGCCTTGCTTTTACCATCTCACTTTTGAGAAGAGTACACGTGTGCCTTTTCTTCTTCATAACCGCATTTGATCCTGGTGATGTGCTGGTAAACATACTTAGCAGCTCCGAGGAGACAGTTAGCATTTCTTCCTAACACTCTTTTCATTGAAATCAGATGTTGGCAGAAAATGCCTACACCAGTGAAATTATTCTACCTGTTAGGGGATCCTCCACCCCAAGAGAAACTTAACCAGAACACCACTTGCATCACTCCTCTGTAACTTTTTACCATGAGGGGAGAGAGAGAGAGAGAG